CCGTGACCCCCCCCCCCCCCCGCAGTGTCCCCCCCCCCCCCCCCTGCTCACCTGTATATCTTGTACTTGGTGCTGAAGCCCTGCTGGTAACGCTCTGTGAAATCAACAAACTCCTGTGAGCGCTGAAAAGGACCCTTGTCCGACAGGAGCCAGCTGAGGGGCCCGGAGGAGCCACTGAAGCCAGCTCCTGCGTGGTCGGCCGCCCCGGCCCCCACTGACACCCAGCTCTGGAGCAGGCTTAGTGTTAACCACTTCCATAGAAACATGAGGGCCACCAGTCTAGTGGAGATGCACGGGCCACTCATGCTGTTTCCCCCGGCCCCTGTGACTCCTCATTCTCCTGCGATCCGGATGAATCCTGCAAGGGGTGAGGGGGAAGGAAGGAGCAGAAGGGGGAGGAGAGGAGATGGTAGTTAGAAGGAGAAACTGGACAATAGTGTGGTTGGAATTGATCTTAGGATGTGGGTCAGAAATGATGGGAAGTGTTGGGGGTATTTCTGCACAGTTTACCTTTTTCTTTGAGTACTGCGATCTGACTGTGGTCTGAATCGATCTCCGCAAGACTCGTAGACCCAGACTGTAGCGTGAAGTTGGATGCGGCTCGTCGCGTGAACGGGACGGCATTGGAAAGTGTAGAGGACTCCCCCAGAAATGCAGCCAAACGCACAAATATTAGGATCACATCCGGTCTTATCAGAGCGCAGTCTCTTGTCTTTACGCAGACATATCCCCAGCCTCCGTGGACCCGGAGCAGGTCGGCTACTGTAAGTCCAATCCACCGGAATGGAGAGCATCCGACGGGTTGTAGTTCGGGACCGTATCTCCAAATAAACTATTTATTTAAGAACATAGCGCAGCCTCGGTGCTCACACTGAAGAAACACGGACCTCATGTTTGCCGTGCATCAGAGGAACATCAGCAGCCTCACGTCATCTGCTCGGACTGGAGAGACGCGCTCCAAGCGCATACAGTGCGCACTGGATCCCCGGCGCACGGAACGTGTGAATGGCATTCTCTGCACTCTCTCTCTCTCGCTCTACCTCCCCCGCTCACCCTCTCTCTCTGTGTCTCTCTCTCACACTCTTGTCCCTCCCGCATAGCTACAATTTAATTTATTCCAACAACGAGCAAACTCCTGGTTGGCTGGAACTGATCGACAGCGGGCTGGATGTGGCCGTGGTTTGGGGACAGTGATGTGCTCAATTCGCATGCATCAATAAAATAAATAAATAAATAAATAAATAAAAAATCATATCACTTCAGATAAATACTAATGAATGAACAGTGATAGGGAAGAAGTGACCAACGAAACATTTTAAAATCTAGTAAACCAATAACACAATTTCCATAAAAGAAACGTGATTAATTCCGTATTAAATACTGTGCATTTAAATAGTTTATGTGTTGCTATGATATTAAGGAAGTAAATTAAAATATGTTTAATTATGAGATACAATTCAATCCAGGCTATTACCAAATGATCTTGCACAATAGTACTGTAAAATATGCCAGTATGTCCAAAAGCAGTAACATGGAACCATTTGATTTGGTCTTTTCATACAGTTAAATATATCACTATAGGTATTTGGTACTGTGTTACTTGGCAAGTTTTTGTACTCATGTTTGTATTTTATTTATTTATTTGCAGGTAAATTTAGATCTGGTTTTAGATACTGGAAAAAGTTCCCACAAAAGCACTAAAAGAAGTAATGTTAAACTCAAGGCCCGTGGGCAGAATCTCAGCTGCCATATCATTTTACGTGGCCCCACCAGAGCTTGTTTTGTGTCTGGTTGTATTAAAATAAATACAGTCTAGAGTCTGCAGTAATACACTGGTCAGGTTATGTGTGTGTGTGTATGCTGTGTTAATGTGCGTTATTTATCATTATATTTCTCTACTAAGAATTCTAATCATGCACTTTTGTACCATGAACTACATCCCCCACAATACACTTCATTTTCATGACCCTGGAGTCTCAACAATGAATGAAATGGAAAAACACCGCTCAAACAAACATCACCTTGTTAAATTATAAACTTGACCAAAGTTTGTCTGTGCAGCAGTATTCTGAATTTGGGCTTGATATTAATATTCTAAATTAAATTTATTGTACAGAGGTAGAAAGTCGTTCCAGTCAGTGCAAATTCAATATTTCTGGTCAAAGCGTTGTCAGCACTCGACTGTTCAATAAATGTTAATCCGGTTTAGCCCATCACTTGGGCCGTGTTTTAAATTTCGTTCCATTGAGTGATTGCATTTGACACCTTGGTGCTAGTGATTTAACATGGACTTCCAACAACGGATGGTGATAATGATGATGATGATGGTGATGATGAAGCCTGTGATGAAGAAATATCTTTTCCAACATCCTGCAGTTACTTTCTCGGAGCTGTTGTCTTCCTTTGGGATAATCACCACTTACGCCGCCAGCTAACTTAATTAGCTCTGCTCTTGTCTCACTGTATGGGTCTGACATTGGCTGTGGAGTCTAAGTGTGGATCAGAGAGGCAGAGAGTAGACGGACACATGCAGTGAGGGGATATGCACAGCCTTTCAGCTTTTCTGTAGATGTTCAAAGAAAGGGTTTCATACAGGGTCTGGATTAGAGAAATGAGCAACATTGAGTCATGAGATTCTGAGGCTCCTCCACTCAAAGAGAAGCACAAATCCCATGGCACCGTGGCTTGCAGGGAGCGGAGTGAAAGAATAAGTTGATTTGTCACGGTTTCATCATCATGTCGTGGACCGCGTGCCTTTCTTCTTCTGACCCTGTGCCTTGAAGCTACCGCAAAACTTGAAAGAGCGACGACCTAATAGAAACCAAGGTTCTTTGGTCTGTTGTGGATAAACCCTGTTCTAGTGACTCTTTCCTCCTGCACTGAAGTCAACTTTTTTTTCTAGGAAAGTTTTTTTTTTTTTTTTTTACTTTTTTGTTGTTAATTAAGGGAAATAAAGATGATGTTTGGTGCCTGAACAGTTCCAAGATATTTTACATGTAAATATATATTTTAACTGTTGTTAAATTATTTTATTATTTACACAGTAGTGTAGAAAGAGTAAGAAAATCCAGCTTTTTATTTTCTTATCTTCTTCTGTCTCTATGTGCAGCCTGACCAGGCAACGGTCAATATCCAGCGGTTTATGGGACATGATGTTTCACACAAAGCGTTCTTTGTTCTTCGCCCAGGTTCACAGTTCTTTGTAGTGGATGGATTGGAAGACATTTTGAAGACAAAGTCACAGAGCGGAGCTCATTAAAGCTCAAGACAGGTGCAGGAATCAGAAGATGTGGCTGAGCAATGACCTATAACAAGCACATGTCTCTGGAGACTGCTGTTACCAAAGAAGACACAAGCAGAGCCATGGCAACCACATTCAACCAGACGTTCAAATCAATGCAAGGGGTTTGGATTTTATTTTTGTAAAAAATGATTCATTTCAGGGTTAAGGGATGAATGAAGAATTTTATTTATTTTAAAATGTTCCATCATTTCATTCTGAGTCATATCCTGAAAGACCTGATGGGTGATAGTCGAAATAAATAAATAAAATAAATGTACGTGTAGTTGCAGGATAAAAACTCTTTTATTATTACTTCCATTGTTACATATTATGCTACAACTCTAAACCTAATGTGCTACCATCCAGAGAGGTAGCTACTCTATACTGTATATATTTATATAAATGGGTCAAAGTACTCTGCATAGATTCATCACCTGGGTTTTTAAATCTCCTCAGTTCTGCTGGGGGTTTTTGTGCCTTTGTTTCCGTGTGTTAAGAAAAATAGTTTATTGTGGAATAACTGGTTCAAAATGCAAATTAATGATAACAAAACACACTGACTTATGTTTGTGTAGCTGTTGGGACCGGTGTCATATTGAATAAATACAGGAAAATGTGTTGCTTTTGTGGACCATTTTGTCCTGTGGAATCTTTAGGGAAAATTAAATCCGATACATGGGGAAGGCCTGTCCAAAGTGATACCCAACCCTAAATGCTCACGTTAACTTTGTGCAACATGCCAGCAATGACAGCCCACAGTATGCTGGAGATGAAAACAACGTATCGGATTGTTATTAGTATTGACAGACACTTCAAATTGCAGTATCAGTATCAGTGATACTGAGATGACATTGTTAGAACTGTCTGTGTTTCTCTTTCCTGTCTTGTTTCTTGGGTGGAGTTAGTGTGATCACACTCACCTGTGTCTCTGATTAGTCTCACTGGTGTCACCTGGTGCCCTGGGTATATATACCCCTCTCTCGCACTCTGTCCCTTGGTGAGATAGTTGTTCTGTAGCTGTTGTGAGTGTCCTGTGCAGTTTGTGTTCTGGGTTTCTAGTAATTCAAGTTAAGGAGTGAAGTCCATGTCCATGATGTTGGGGGAACAGCCCGTGTGTTTGGTGTTTTATTCCAAAGGGACATTGTTGTTGCTCATCTGCGCTGTTTGAAGAACCTGCCTGCAACTGATACTACGTTCCTGTGCGCTGTAGTTGTTGCTCACCTGTAAATAAATCACCTGCTGCACCTGGACAGTCTCCCTAATGCTGGATTTGGGTCCAACCTGCTTCCTGCCTTGCCCTCACGTAACAGACATGACATGAAGTGAAAAAGCTATCTAGCCATCCCTAGTAATCTTACCTGAAGATGCAGCGTCAGTCTCTGCTTTCATGTCATGCTTAGGTTTTCAATGTTATTTTCAAATTTAACAGACCTTTATTACAATATTCTCCCTAAACATATTTATTAAATCAAACAGGAGACAAGCGTGGGATGTGTTGTTTGGCTGTTAGCAATTTGTGTCTTTGTTTCAGAAAAAGCCTGTTTTTAGGTTGCAGAAAAAAAAATTGCATTTTTCTCACATTTTTTCTAACATTAACCACATGCAGAGGCTGCCTGGCAGACTGCCTCAAAGGCAATCATCTCCTGTATGCCAAGAAACAGGCTGCCCATTCTTCTTCACAGGACAAACAGAAAAGACCTTCAAGAAAACATTCACACATGCCAAACATCCACTTGCCCCACAGCCGAGCGTCTAGTGTTTTTTTTTTTTTAAGGCGGTGGTAAAACAGCATCAAGCAGAGAGAAAACAGATGCAGAGTCAGACTTGTTTTCAGCTTCCATCAAGCTTCGAGAGTTGCAAAATAAACTATAAGCAGAGCGCCTCGTGAGGACGGACGTCTGGTAAACAGAAGTTAAGTTAGCGTCTCATCTCTGCAAGAGTGTATTTAAGCTGAACGAGTCTCAAAGAGGAGACAGAGGCGGTCGCATTTCCTCAGCTCTGAGACAGATAGTCATTAGGGGAGGTAAACATTCACTTAAGCCTGAGCGTGCTCATTGATGCCACTCAAGGGTCTTTGTAAGGAGTGATCAGGGAGAAGAGTGAAGCCGAGGTTTTAATTAGGCTGAAAACTTGACAGCCTTTGTCAGTGCTTTGTCACACCAGTGTTGGCTTTACTTGTTTGTCTTTTTCCCCGTGTCTCACAGACCGTTACGAAAAATGGTGGTTCCTCTGCTCTCTTAGGTGCCAGATTAAATGCACACTTTATTGTTCTCAACCTGGACACGTTTATGTTTGCAAATAAATCTCCTAAGTTTCCTCTATCCTGGAGCCCGGACGGCGGAGGCGCCGCATCCTCTTTGTTTGGATAAGCAGCGGTAAGTGGTACAGGATGCCAGTTAACTGCCTCTTTGTGCTCATAAATTATAAATGGCCACCGGTCAATTGTGCGAAGAAGAGAGACACCCTGGTTTAATGTGGAGCAGGGCTCGTATTTCAGCGGGGTCAGAGGCATACATAACGTGGTGATTAAAAAGCCAGTAGCCTGACAAAGTTACAACCCGTATCTGCATTTGTTATGACTCATCCGGGTCACGGATCTTGCTGTTCATCAACCGTCGTGGGGACCTGAGGTGTTGTTAGCATCAGCATTTTTTTCGAGTCGTTGGATTTCAGGGGTTTTCAGCATCACTGCTGCCTTGAAGTCTGTTTTCACTAGAACTTCAATGTCCGCACATATGCACTTCAAAGGCCATCACAATCGTACATTCCCGTATGACAGCAGTCTTCCTGGGACCAAAGGCTGTCAGTGACAGGGAGTCTGATCTCCACCAAGAAACTCTTTAACATTTAAAGTCTACACAAATATCTCAAAAGCCTCATATACACACGTACACATTTCTTAGCCTTTCTTCATACTGGTCTCATTGTAAACACCCAGACTGATCACCACGTCCACTTTTGTTAACAATATTTGTCTATTATTACTTTTAAAATACTACTTCAAAGCTTCATAGTATTACTTCTTCTGCGACAGTAAACTCTTCAGATGTTGGTTTGTTAGGCACCGGAAGATCTGTACTGGGAAATGATTTGAAATAAACAGATCTTGTTGCCAGCTGGCAGATGATTTTACCCCTGGTGAAATGTTTTTGGAACCAGAAGTCCAGAAAAACTTTCAAAGTCAAGATGTGGACATGACTGTGCAAACTTTACTTTTGAACATAAACACATTCTACAAGAATATGGTATTGTGGTCACGGAACCTTTTTTTTTTTCTCTTCTACTGTCTAATTCCTTTTAAGGTCATGATGGGGATTAGCTTTAGCTCGTTGACAGGCTTCACCCTGGACAGTCCATCCCATGACCACATATAAAGACCAACAAATCTTTACATTTATATTCACCGATGATCAATATAAAGCTGGGGAAAATGTTGCTAATTGGTGAAGTAAAAAAAATAAATAAATAAAATATAGAGGTTATTCAGTTTTAGATGCCAATCATGAGGACTTAAGTAGTGGCCATATAACATATGTAACATTCTATTATATTATACAATATTCAGTTTATATGGGGGAATATGAATTTAATATTTTTAGTCTTAATAGATAATTTTAGCCTAGTCTTTTTAAAGGAG